TGTTTTACCATTGAATAAAAAATGTTTTATTCAATGGTTGTATGAAGGATAATCGCTATCCTCTACAATCAGTGGCGGTCCCAGGGGGGGCCCGCCCCCCCCCTTGTCAATTTTTTCATCAGATTTCTTTTATTTTTTCCGTATTGGGAAAAAGTTCGGGTTTGGGCCCCTCCCTTTACCAAATCCTGGGACCGCTACTGTCTACAATTTGTTTTTTTGGTCAACCTACTATATTTAACCATTTCTTTTCTTCACATTCTGGAGGTCGATGTCGTAGGTTTTTATATCATCAGCAACGCTCTGCTCGTACTTAGGACTGGATCTGGAAGAAATAACTAACGCGTCCAAAGTTATACTTTATTTACATGGTATTTTTTACACATTAAGTTAAAATCACAATGTTACTTAAATGGAACATAGTTAAAATTGCATTCCGTTAGGAAAACTACAAGCCCAAAACTTTTATCTCTGTATGTAAACAACTATTTACATGAGAAAGAGTTTAGCTTTGCATAAATTAATTACAATTCAATTGTGTGAGTGATTTCTGCTACTTGTAGACTCTTATGTCCACTTTTTCTGACCATTTCTGCATTGAAGCACTCGAGCTCGTTTTCCAGTGCTTTTGTGCGTCTATACATCTGTATATAATTAAGTTGTAACTGTTTCTGATATTTCAATACTTTTTCTTTTTCTTGCGCCCATATCAACCTCTCTTTTTCAAACTCCAGCCGTTTAACTTCCATCTCTTGTTTAAGTTTATCCACTTCTTCATTTTCGTTGCTGTTCGATTTTATACAGAAATTTGCTAGAAGTTGCTGGACCTCTTCTTCTTTGTTTTTTAAGGATACGCACGGAATCTCGACATCATCTTGATCGAACTTTGTAATAATGTAGTCGGCGTGATCTTCGCAAGCGTTGATATTATTTTCTAATAGCTTTTGAAGTTCTTGCTTTAAACTGTCTATTTGTACATTCTTGGCCTTTAATGTTCTCCTTAAATTTTCCGACGCGGATTTGTTTGCTTCAAGTTGTTCTCGAACGTCTCTGTATTCGTTCCGTATTTGCAAAAGCTCGTGTCCTTTGCAAGTCTGATCGTTCTAAAATCAGAAGATTAGTATTTGCGATAAATTAAAGACGCACTATCAGTACCTGGTAATCTTTTAATTGTGACTTAAGTAAAGAGATCTCTCCAGTTTTTTGGCATAAACTCCATTCCGTTTCTTCTAATCTGTCCCTCAGTATTTTAACCTCTTGTCTTAGCCTATCACTTTCACAGTTAGCTTTTTGCGTTTCGCCGGATAATCTTTTCTTATCTTGCTGCAGTTGATAGGTTTGCATCATGAGCATCTGCTCCAATTTAAGTGCCTTTTGTGCTATGGTCCGTAAGCGAGTTTCGTGTATGCTTTTTAACCGTCTCAATTCTCTCTCCCACACCCGTTCTTTCTCTTGATACACCCGAAAAATAACTTGCTCATTGTGCTCCATTGTTTGCCGCAAGTAGGCAAGCTCCGAATCGCGATCTCGCAAAGCAGCTTCCAATTCGGATACGCCGGAATCTGACGGGGATGGAGTTAAATCGAGGAGAGAACCACCAACCCCAGACAACATATACGAAGACTTATTTCTGCAATAAATTTCTTTTACTGTTGTGTAGGTTGAATGCCGTTGGTATTACTTACGTTAAAGTGCTACTGGTGATTTCCGCACACTTTCTAAACTGTCGTAGTTACTAATTTTTTGAGGTAGAGAGCTGAATGTCATGGACATAGGGGAGGACATTATCGATTGACAGGATGACCGCAATTTCCGATCCAGAGAGTAATTCGAATTTGGCGCGAAGTGATGCTTATGATCGTTGCTACCTAGAAATAACGTCGTAATTATGAATATCTTTTGTGATCAAATATTTACGTGTTAAAATGGGAGTAGATCCATAACGTTCACCTTCCAGTCCAAACCTTCCCGACGGTGACATTCCGGCGGGCCGAAACGCTATGGGTCGAATAACTGTCCTTCCCTGAAATAAATACATACACAATTGGTAGAGTTATGTAAACTTGTCTTATTACATTTATTTGAAAATTTAAAATATATATTAAACTGGAGTGACAACGGTACGAAATACAACTCAGTACAACAACTCAGCACTTTAACAGCAAGAGTAAGTCAATCAAAGACAAAGGAAGGAAGAATCTACTAACATGTCATCAATAACATTTAATATGCAATTATTTCGTTTGCTATTCCCCATGCAAACCTATATGCACAACGCCTTAATCGTGCGAGAATACCTTAATCGGACAACTTTTCTATTTTTCAGGAAATTTGTCCGATAGGTATTCTCGCACGACTACTTATGCTGTGCGCGAGTGCACCATCCTGTTGAAAACAAACAGTTTCCAACTTATTTTTGTTGTGTGAAAAAATAAAAACCAGATCGGTAAATTTCGGTAATTTTGGCATATCTTCGGACGTAATCGTAATTTTGGTGTCAAATGAATTTAATTAATTTAATTAATGGTTTAATTGTACTTCGCAATAAATTTTTGGCATTGTTAATCAATTAATTGTGTGTTCTATTGTGCGACCCTGATAGAGTTTTCCTGGTTTTCCATGCAAAGATTTATTTCAGGCGATAATCAAAGTTTGTATAATAAGTTCTTTGGAATTTTCGGAAGTAGGTCGAGACCACCGAATCTCTCAAATTAAAAATATTAGGATTTTTCTTCTAGCAGATGCCGGGTCTGTACGCGGCGAGTTTATAAAATTCTAACTTTCAATTTTGAGCAAGACAAGTGTCTGCAAAAGACAGAAAAATAAATACATTTGATTGGTTTGAGGGATGAATTTTAACAAATCATTATGTATTTGTTTCAATTTTAAAAATATCCTAATGGTGTATCTTTATACTCGTAGGTATTAGACTACTAGCACTGGACTACCGCTTACAAAGTAATAATACCTCCCTCGAATAAATTATTGATGCGACTTTTATAAATGCCGTGAGAAATTATTATTAGTGCACTTATATGACGAGTTTATTTGTAACTTATTCTTTATTAATGACCATATATACTGTAACAAATCTGCTTGGCAATGCAATTATTTAGTGTGCATAGTCTCGATAGAGCTTAGCTAATAAAATATATAATTGGGTGGGTAATGTACCAAGCCGTACACGGGCCACATATACACTTGGTGTTCTTCTTCTACAAAAAAGTGAAAATTTCGCCAAAAAAGTGAACATTTCTACAAAAAAGTGGAAATTTCTACAAAAAAGTGGAAATTCCCATAAAAAAGTGGAAATTTCGACAAAAATATTTGATGGCCTTTAAAATGATGGGTCACTCGATGGGGCGGCGGGGGAAGGTCAAATTTCTGCTTTGTTGTCGCCGCTTTCACTTTTTTTCGAAATTTTCACTTTTTTGTCGAAATTTCCACTTTTTTGTTGAAATTTCTACTTTTTTGTGGGAATTTCCACTTTTTTGTAGAAATTTTCACTTTTTTGTGAAAATTTCCACTTTTTTGTCGAAGTTTCCACTTTTTTTGTCGAAATTTCCACTTATTTTTGGAATAAGAACACCAAGTGTGTGTATGGCCCGTGTACGGCTTCGTAGTAATGAATGAATGTAAATAAATATCATTACCAAGAATTATTCCTTAAGTTAATGATCAAAATCCTGTCCATAAAACGCTCCTCGAAAGGTGTGTACCTACCTTAGTCTAGCGGAAATTATTTTTTTATATGTATGTATAACAAAATCTCTGACCTTTAGATGTGAAATATGTTAACGAATTAATTTTCGCCAGTAAACGGAACTCCTTAGCTTAGCTTAAGGTATCTATTGCGTTTGGAGTTTAGATAAGAAAATTAAGTAACGTCGTCAGTGATTAGTATTCAATCAATATGCAAATATGGTCACATTCTATTGACAGACACTTTATTGATCTAGATTGTTTAGGATCAAACCTTGCGACAATTAAGTATGTGTACTTTTCATAGAGCGAAAGTTGTAATGTAAAAATACCATACGGAGGCAAGGTACTAAATATTTCCGCAATAACTGCCACCATAAACAACCCGCGAAGGTCTGAAATCTAGAACTGTGGCACCCTTTGAGATCTAAAAGCAAAGCAATGCAAGCTTTATAGGGGAATCGATGGTGTCCGTCTGTCCGTGAACACGATAACTGTCAAACGCTTGGACCGATTCGGTTGAAACTTTGCACAGTTGATCTATATGCCACATGTAACAAGCCTATTGAAAATGGGTCAAATCTAATAGCCCCGTAGGGTCACACCGAGGTGCTCTGTCGCTTTTTTAGATCTGCTGTAGAGGTTTACTTGAGCATTGTATGATAAAATTGCAATTTCTTGAAAAAAAAAACTAGGGACGATGATTGTAAAAAATAGTAAAAGTATATGAACTTACAACGAACTCGAAAACAGGACGCCAGATCGTTTTCCAGTTTTCTGAGATCATATTAGAGGACACAGAGGGGTGTTTTTCTGCCGTGTTATGAATAAAAGTGATGACACGGTTTGGGAGTTGTGAGACGCGGACCGTTGCTCTCGAAAAGGGTGGTTTTCGCGTGTTGCAACTTTGACGCCTTCTGAAACGGAACCGTTATCGATAGAGGAAAACGTACAATTACACAATTATAGGTAGAGATGGGGGGTCTGTGGTCATGGTCACTCAATCACCCCCTGATGGGAGGCAAGCCGCGCGTTGTCGAGTAGATTTAGCAAGACGCGCTACTTGACTTGATCAAACAATTTCAATGTACAGGGTGTCCCGTTAATAATGGCCACAGGCCATAGCTATGGAACCATTAATTGCACAGCTTCGAGAAAACAATTTTGTTAACAAAAGGGGACAATAGAAATCGCTGGAAATTATTTTCAAGCTTCTAGCTTCACTGCTAGAATTCGTACGATTCATGGTTAAGTACAAAAGTGTATTTTTTTCTAAAATATACCCAACAAACATGCACAAAAAATACATGCATAGCAATCTTGTATCAATTTTGATGCAGCATATATTGCTCTAGCTCGTAAAATATGAGGGGTGCCGGAAGGGGAACATCTCTTTAAGGAATTGAATGTAACTTCGGTTTAGGTTAACCGATTTTTACATAATAGGTCTTGTTGGAAAGTGGTGGTTAAAGTTTCAGTACATAATATGGTAACAAATATGAAAGTTGATATTGCGCAGTCTGCACATAGGTACGTTAGGATTGTTTTGGCTCAGGTGCCAGAGCTATAAGCTACCGAATTCAAAAAGAACTAACTAAATATATTGAGTAGGAGTAGGAGTCGTTAAATGCCTCGGACGAACGGACAGAGAATAGCGCACCCAACTTCGTTAAAAAATGCGTTAAAATAATAATGACCACTAAAAAAAACTAAAAGAACTTGTTCGCTACCAACAAACCAAAAAGCAAATACCTAAAGAAAACAGTTCAGGAAGTGAAACAACAAAGGACAACTTATGGAACAATAAAATTAAGACAGTTAGAAGAGATCTTGAAGAACATTACAAAACAAGAATTGGTAGACCTAAAGACACGCAATGGATAACACATGAAAGAAAGAAAAGGAAATCGAACCACGATACAAAAAAGGTCAATAAAATAATCAAATCGAAAATCACAGAAGCTATTTCAATTTTCCGTTGTATGAAGTACCTCTCGTTCAAATTTCAGACGAGTCGGGTCACAAGTAAAACAACATATCTGCATTTAATTTATTTTTTTTAGGAAGCGCCTTCTCTTAAAATTACATAAATATCCGTCCATACATTTGTTAACACATGCACATCATAAACTATGCCTCCAAGTAATGACAGTGGTTCCAAGAGAGCCCATTTTTTCTCTGCCATAGCAATTAACCGTTTCCTCGATAAAATTGGGGTTTTGATCCAAATCATTTATCCAAATGGTGGCTAAAATTGAGAGCTTCATGTTTGAATTTTATGTAATCGATGCGTCAAAGAGTAACTAATAATTATTATGTATTCTTTGCCAGTGTATAGGATTTATAAGGCAAAGGGGGAAACTTTAAGTCGTGAAGCACAGAAAAAGTTTCTTCCTTGGTACAAGCCTTGACATCTAAACGAACCAAACGGCGGTAAAGTAGAGCAACCAGCTCTTGAGATAAGATCAGTCGTAGAAACAAACGGACTCTATTGCAATCTTGTGTCATTTCTAAATAACGTCAACGTTCTTCATCGCAGTTTTGTCAAACTTAACACGTCAATTAATTCCTAAATTTCATTTTGTACGATACTCTTATTCCACGTTTCTTTTTACGAGTATACTTACTAAAAACCCGTTATAAATGTGGGTCTATTCAGCCGAAATTTCACACAGATCAGAGCTTTAGCAGCCCGAAGATACGATTTGCGGCTTGTAAAGAATAGATAACCTTGCGCGTCCGTCTTCTTGTATTTATTCTTCATTGTATCATTCTACTTTTTTGTGTAAACAACGTCATGTAGATGTTATTTCGGTCTAAACACCAAAAATAATGACGGGACACCTTGTATATGAAAGTATTTTAATTTTATCAAGTGTAAATCTGGAGGACTGTATATTGCATTTGAATTTGTTATCTCAGTATTGTTTTTCCTTTTAGAATTGTGTAATTACACAATTTTTATTTCAATTTTATCGATTTTGTAAATTGTTTATTTAGATTTGTGCATTAATAGTGCGTGTTAAAGCGTAGGGACATCTGGTCCTTTGGAGTAAGGAGTTTTATCAGGCGAAATTTAATTAACGCACGTGTTGTTATCGCTGTTAAGTTATACAGGCGTTTTTACGATGTGAGCGTTATTTCGGCGTAATTGGGGAAGCGGAACGTGTTGCTTCGAAGCTTGCGTTATCCAGTATAATTGAGATTGGCGATGGATTTAAAAATCAACGTAAACACGAGGCTACGAGCATGGCCTAATAAGAGTAGATATATTAGGCCATGGCTACCAGTTCCGCGCAGGCCGAAGATCGTGTAAATTTG